CGTTCCAAAAGGAAGAAGACATGACTCGCCTGAAACTTGCGTCGTAGTGCCTGTGTCATTATTGGTGTCAACCCAGAACCACATTCCATGTTTTCTTTACTATTTAGTGGAGTGCCACCAGGACTTCTGAAAAGATTGGAAACGAGGGGAATTATGATTAGTTCTCTATTTTTTTTTTTTTAGAAAAACAAAACAAGAGAATAGAAAGGAACTTACCTTTGTATATTGACTTTCTTCAGATGTTTTCGAAGATCTAACTGATTTTTAGGAGGGGTACTAAAAGAAAAAAAAACACACAAAGTTGTTAAACTATTTTTCACTCTGTAAATAGACTTCATCACTGTTCAGCACAAAAAAAATCTAATATCAAAGAAAGGAAGAAAGTGTCTTACGTGAAGGAGTTTGTTACGTGAGCTGATGGCTTGGATTTCGGCCTCAGACTAATACTCTGTAAATCTGAGACTGTAATTAACGCCCTGCGTGTCTTCACTGGCGATTCTGCCTAAGGTGAGAAAAGAAGTGTTACCAGAGAGACACTTTAGAAGGTCTCACTGACCTTAAACCTATTCAATATTGATACTCCAAAAGATTCCTGTGGTTTATGGCTTTTATGTTTTTCTGTATCGTTAAGATTTTGATATGCCTTGGACAAAAATAGATTTATTTAAAAAAACTTCTGCAACCAAGATTTCAGCTGGGCAAAAGCAAGCTCAAAATCTATTGATACACACAGACGTAAAGCTACATGAAAGCTACGTGCCTTTGATCTAAAATTAGGAGAACTGTCTTGCATGCCAGCCGAGATAGGAGTTAGACACTTAATTTCTTCACTTCAAAAGCCCACATGCAGAATTAGGAGGATTATTTAAAGCTGATCACTGGGTTTTTGGAAGAGAAGAATTAATTTCTTGAAAAAATTCGATGAGGGGGCTAACAGAAGCCTTGCAGGACATACACCGTTTCCAGGGTGGAGTTTGCCTTGATACACCATTGTCTATTTTTTCATGTGTCCTCCAGTTTACCTTGTCCGTTCTCAGGTTGCTGCCCGTCTTCTTCAGTTTAACGTTCAGGAGATCTTTGAGAGTGACCTGCATTGGCCCATCTTTTTTCTGTGGAGGTGCCTGAAAACAAAGGTGGTTGGAAGGGAAATTAGGATCAGCAAGTGACTGAGCATTCACAAAGACACACATTCCTGACGAAACGAGGTCCAAAGAACCCAGTCATGAGTGGAGAAATAGAGGAACCTTCTTACTCCATACCAGAAGTGCTTTAGAGCCATTGCCCCGTTTGAGGAGGAGAGGTGCTGGAGGCAGCTTTGGTGGAGGCAGTGGTGGTGGCGGTGGCGGAGGTGGAGGAGGAAGAGGTGGAGGGGGTGCGGATGCAGGCTGCAGCTGTGTTGCAGAAGGCCCAGATACTGCTGGTGGCAGGCCCTCCTGCATTTGTACGGGAGCGCCCAGAACTGGTTTATTACACCTTTGACAAACACAACTTTTTGAAGACAAGGCAGCAACTTCATTCATCTGAAAACAAAATAAATAAATAAGAGAATATTAAATCCACTGGCAAAAGTAGATGGAGTTTCAGAGAACACAGGTTCTGGCTTCAGTTGATCCAGAAAGACGTAAAAAGCCTCTTAAGAGACTCGAGAGCAAACCAGTTCCCTCTAACTATGCAGTAACCCCAGTTTAGGGATGCTGAACGCAAAGAAGAGGTGAAACACTGCCCAGCGAAAAGCTCTTAAAATTTCAGTTTATCTGCATTGATCACAGTTCCTTACACGCTTACACAAGCAAACATTACCCTGCCCCACTGGGACCGAGACTGACCTGGAGTGTTCCTTGTAGCCTGGAAAATTCAGCTTCCAACTTTTCCAGCTGCTCTTTGAAAGTATTTAGCTCTCTTAGGTAGATTTGTGATGGAAATACGGTGTCTTTAACCACCTTAAAACTCTAAGCATAAAAAGAAACCAGAGAAGCATTTTCACCAAGTTGCCTCCAGAGCCAGGGCTGTGATTCCTACTGAAAGTTCTATCACAAGGTCTTCTCGTTTTAGTCAGTGGAAAGTCACAGGATGAAGATACAAAATTTCACCAAATATTTCCTTGGCAGGAGCCCAAAGAGTGACTTGCTCAAAATAAATTTCTTCATCTACGAATTCTAAAGTATAATTTACATTTGACCAGAAAAATTTAGACAATCATTTCTGCTGTGAAAGACAGACTGCCCCCTCTGTCACTGCAAACCCTCCTGATACTGCAACAATCACCCCCTACAATTCCACGTACGCGTTTAATATCCACAGTGGCCTTGACACTCTTCTCATACATGTTCCTTCAGCAGTAAACACAAAATACACTTTGGATATTTCAATAGCCATAACTAAATTTACAGCTTAATTCTCAAATCTGACTGTATATTCCGCATCTGAGTGCTAAGAACGACCTCACGCATCAGCAAAACTAGAGAAGTAGAAAATTTACCTGTATAACGGTGTTCTGGCACCAACAATACAAAAATGATGCTGTTGTCGTAAAGGGTTTGACCACATTTTTCACACTGGGCAAGGTGAATGACCAGAGTGAGGACAGATGGCTTGGGACAGGTGATGGATTCACAGGAAGATCATCTGCTGACCTGGGACAGAACATTTCAGAATGGGGCCATAATTATATTTATCATTTCAGCCTTTAAAAAGGTTAATTGTCACCAATCATCTGGAAATCACAAGTACCAGCAACAGCAGGTGACAATAAATACAAGCACAGAGATCAGGAAGGACAAAGATACACTTTGACAAAGGGGAAAAACAATAATTCATATTTGCAATATGTTTTTATCCAGATTGCTTTTTCTGCACGTTAAAGTTAACTATAGCGTGCTAGCAGATACACAAGAGGAAACAATCCCGTAGCATCCATGCCAGGATGCAGACAGGCTCCAAACACAGTTGTGTTACCTCAGTCCCACAAACCACCGGGAGCCAACAGCGGCCCCAGAAATTGAGTTAAAAGAGTCCAAACCAAGCCTCTTACCGTGGAGGACAACCTGAGCCCTGGGGGTTTGCAGCATCTCTTTTTTTTTTTAGTAGGAATTTTGCTCTGGCTCTCTGTTTTTGTCGGCATTTCTTACGTTTTGCCATTACTGTTGAAAAACACACATTTAAAATTAATATATATAGAGACAGATCCACTTTCATGTGGGGACAGCACTAGCACCAGACAGGTGGGGAAGAACACGGACTGCACCTCAAAAATCCGGTTAGAAGTTATTCACGGCTGTCTGGCTATAGAAGCACTACAGACAACTGATGAAAAATACATCTTTTTAAAGATGTTTTTATGATCCACCGGGATGCATTTGACCAGGAAAGGGAGGAGCGAACAACATAAAAAGCACCGTTTCGTACGGGCTTTGTTGGCAGCTTTTCTTTATCCTGAGGTGACAAACGCTGCGTTTGGGGACAGTTACATTTGCGGGGAACGTGGGTACAAGACACGAAGAAAGCACAAAAAGAGTGTCG